CTGCATTTTGTGTATAATTGTAAATAATACTACTGAGCTTATACCAAATTTTAAAATTTCTGCGAGAAAAGATAGAGAACGAATCAAGTATTTCTTCTTTGACCTGCTTTTTGAAGAGTTTCAAGTAACATTCTATGAATTAAAGTAAATTTAATAAAAAGTATATATGTAGAGCAGGGCGAAGCACAATGGTCCAATTTGACTTTGAGCAAATATCAACTATATCACAAAAACTAAGCTAATTATATCACAACAAATAACACATTTCAAACGAACAATTATCTGACTACGTTCAGTAAAACTGTCAGCAACTTCATCATTGAAAAAATGTGCTTTCTTGCTGTCTTTCAAAAATTTGTTATCTAGAACTTTTTACCCTATAGGCAGAGTAACTTGAAATGGCCAGGTGGCAAACAGGTTTATTGTCTTATTTTAAATTTAAAGGTATTTTACAAAATAATTACACTTTTAACTAATGCTGAAAAAAACTACCAACGGAAGAAAATACTTTTATTATGGATTTTCAAGGATTAACGTTTATCTCCCGATAGCATGATCATGAAAATCAAGATTATAGCTGGTTATACATCTTTTTCCCTCTACATTCAAATATTGAGCTAAACAATATTTAACTTTACTGGTTTTTGACACATTGGTGGTGGACGTTTTTAAGCCCGGACCTTTATATTTTACTGTCTATTTTTCGATAAATTCTGGGAAATTATAACTGTGAAAACTTTATTCGACAAAATGTCGAGTGCTACAGCGCCAAAAAGTGCATTTTCATATTAACATTTCAAAAAATATTTTGAAGATATTTTGAGTTTCTAGTAACACTTGCGGCCCGTTTACTAACGTTTTTGTTTATAAATAAATTTGCGAACAAATCTACTTACTACAATTTAATCATAATTAAATAATATTTACGCAAAACATCCTATTAAAAGTAATTAAACATCATCTGTCAAAAACGTTTGACATTTCACTTATTGGCAACCGTCCATTGTTTTATTCAAATTACGCTTCTATAAAAATTTTCAAATTAAAAATGTAAAGTTTCTGCGCAATTTTGAAATAATATCTCATCTTTTTGACCACCTACTGATTAGCACGAATTTTTCAGTCTAAGAATGGCCAAATCGGTTTAGTCGTTGTCTAGTTTTACTTGGACATTTGAAAGAGACCTCCATTTTAATATATAAGATATATATATATATATATATATATATATATATATATATATATTAATATAAATATACTAGATAACCCGATAGGCGTTGTCCTGTACTCATGTCTACAATTCAAAAGCTTCAATTATTTTCAATAACCTATAATGATATTTACCAATTAGTTAAAAATTATATTTTTTACACTACAGACTATACCGAAATGCTATACTTAAAGAATTATACTGTGAAATTTAAATCAGCCACGTAAAATTATCAAACAAACAAATATACATTACAATTTATTGAACAAATTTATTTTCAATAGCTGAAATTATTTTAATGCAAACGATTTTTTTTCAATGATTGATAATCCAATATTTTCAGTCATACCTTTAGATGTAGATGTATAAATGAATAATTTTTAGTTTGCTCACGACTAAAACTTCGATTTTCCAAATTTATCACACAAAAATTCATCGTCTGCTTTTGTGATTTGTAGCATAAGATATACGTATTAGAAATTACAGTATTTTAAATTGCAGTATCCGCGGTAAAGGTACAATATAACCTTGAATTTTCTAACTTAAAATAATTACTTCAATAATGTTGCCCATAATTTTTATAATCTCGTACTATACATGAATTATTTTCAGCAATATTTAAATTACATTTTTCTTAATATTAATTCTATATACATTATTACTTTCGAGAAGAAAAGGGTATAACCTGTGAACTTTTTTACTGTGCTCCAAATTTGCGTAATATTTTTGAATCTCTTGAACCAAGTTAATTCTAGATGAAATACGATCAATTGTAATTTGGTGGAAATGGCAGTCATAAAACTATTTGATTTAATTAAAGAAAAAAATAGACCCTTAACGTAACTCATCTTATTTTGAGCACTATGAAACCCCATGGAATATATAAAATGTAAGACCTAGCCGCTAGACGGCTTCACATACAACAATTTAATCTCGAACGAAATAAAAAAACGACTTTGTTTTTTCCTATTAAACAATATTGTTTCTAGGACACATTATAAAACACCGATTTATTATGATTTTAAATGATAGAATTTCGTTCGTTACATGGTTTTCATTAAAATGTATGTATTTGGAGATATTTGCAAAAAACGATGAAAAACGTCAAAAAAATACGAATTTTCAGTGACCAGTAACTCGAAAAGTATTTTCTTGTTGTGAAATATTATCAAACATTTTTCTTTTATAATCAGTTCTTTTATCGATATCCGACGTTAATTAAAAAAAAAACAAAATTGCACCACTAAAAAGAAATGTCAACTCCTCCTCCACCCGCGAAGTGGCAAAGGCTTAAATTATTTTTACTTTTGAACGTAAGAGTAAGATGAACCTAATTCCAAAATTTCATACAAATTATAGCACAGAAAAAAATCAGGCCTAAAACACTCCATTGACTTGAGTCAAATTCCGTATCTAATTTTGAATAACTTTTGGAATAAGTAATATTTTGTATTGTGAATTTAGTGAAGTAAGGCAAAATACGACTGCATTAGTTAACAAATAATAATCTGTCAAACTGAATTACACAGGGTATGTTTGTAGCATAATCACTGACTTCACAACCGTCAGATGTATGCGCAGACTGTTCATCTGCCAAACCATATACTGTATCTTAAATTATTTCAATTTTTGACACATTTCAGCTGCTTTTTGGCAATAATAATGTACACATTACATTTTTCTTATTCATAAGCATAATAATATTATATTCTAATATTGTCTTAGCTCATAAGTGAATTAAAATTTCTGGCGGATGACAGTTTTCATTTGTTTTCTATGCTAAAAAATGCCTCAAATATTTTCAATGTCAAACAATGATAAGCGTTTTTTTGTAATTTTCTCCATTCACTTCTATAATCTAACTATATTTTTATAATCACAAAATCCTAAAAAAATCCCTAACAAACTTCAGAAGGATTCATCAAAATCCGAATAATCGTTCAGAAGGAGTGTCCTTTCACACAACGTTACATATTTTTTTTTTATAAAAGATAGATATATATCTTGATAAAATGATCCGCTAAAACTCGAAAACGGTTAAACCAATTTGGCTAGTCTTAGTCTTGAAAAATTCGTGCTAATCAGTAGATGTGTCGGAAAGGTGAGATAATATTTCAAAATCGCGTGGAAACTTTACATTTTTAATTTGAAAGTTTTTGTAGAAACGTAATTTAAATAAAACAATGGACGGTGGCTAATACGTGAAATGTCAAACGTTTTTGACAGATGATCCTCAGATGATGTTCAATTACGTTTAATAGGATGTTTTGCGTGAATATTATTTATTTATGATTAAATTATAGTAAGTAGTTTTGTTTGTAGTTTTATTTATATACAAAAACGTTAGTAAACGGGCCGCAAGTGTTACTAGAGACTCAAAATATCAACTTTTTTGAAATGTTAATATAAAAATGCACTTTTTGGCATATTTTTCTTAAACACGGTGCTCTGAAAGATCTCATTTGTATAATTATATTCTCATTGGTATTTATAAAACATGTTCTAGGTTATATTATTTTTTATTTATGCTATTTAAATTCAGAACCTAAATTTGATATCGATCAAATGGACACTTTGTCGAATAACATTTTCCCAGTTATAATTTTCCAGAATTTATCAAAGAATAGATAGTAATATATGAAGGTCCGGGGTTAAAAAGGTCCACTACCGATGTGTCAAAAATCAGTAAAGTCAAGCATTGTTTAACAACAATATTTGAAAGTACAGGAAAAAATATGTATAACCAGCTAAAACCTTGATTTGAAAACGGTAATTTTTGAAATGAGGGATATGGACGGTTCTCTTTGAAAATCCATAATAAAAGTATTTTCTTCCGTTGGTAGTTATTTAGCATTAGTTAAAAATGTAATTATTTTGTAAAATACCTTTAAAATTAAATCTTTTTGCCACCTGCCCGTTTCAAGATACCCCTCCTAAAGGGTAAAAAGGTCTAAATAACAAATTTTTGAAAAACATCAAAAAAGCACATTTCTACAATGATGAAATAGAAGGCAGTTTACTGAACGTAGTCAGATAATTGTTCGTTTGATATGTGTTATTTGTTGTGATATAATTGTTATGGTTTTCACAATATAGTTCATATTTGCTCAAAGTCAAATTGGACCTTTGTGCCTCGCCCTGCTCTACATACATCTTTTTTATTAAATTTACTTTAATTCATCGAATGTTACATTAAACTTTTCAAAACGCAGGTCAAAGAAGAAATACATAATTCATTTTCTATTTCTCCTCGCAGAAATTTGAAAATTTATTTGAGCTCAGTAGTAATATTTACAATAACACACAAAATCCAGAATCCAAAAAGAATCTGAAAAACTTGAAACATAATCAATAAGTCGAAAGACCAAAAAACACTTGGATGGATTATATTATGTTTTCTATAGAAAGTGTATAAATCTTCCAGTTTGATAGAAACTAATGAGGTTTATTGTTTTTATAATACATCATTGTATTATATTGCAATAAAACAACTCATAAATACACTTAAAGTATTAATATTTTTGATTCTATAGAAATTATTTAGAATATAACTTACTACGCAAAACAACGTTATATATATATATATATATATATATATATATATATATATATTCACGTGTATCATTGTTATAATCAAAATAATTATCAGGCTGATGACAAGTGTAGATAAAGCAAATAGATACGTTTATTAAACTCGACATGATTTGCAAATATTTCTATTATATATATAATTACGACCAGAATCATAATCATCAGTCAAGATTATTCACAGGCGTTGCGCGCTCTCAAAATGTTCGATTTGAATTTTCTACATTGGTTTCTTGTCGTTTTTTTATTCGCTTTAGGAACTACATACCTTTGGATGCGGAACAAATTTAAGTATTGGACCAAATATAATATAGACAGTTTGACCCCTACATTTCCCTTTGGAAATTTTGGGCCAATGATGGTCGGAAAAGAGTCTATAGGTATGTCTGTACAAAAAACATACAATGCTTGTAAAAATTCCGGCAAGTATTGTGGATATTTTTTATTTGGAACTCCAGGCTTAGTAGTGACAGATCCGGAAGCTATAAAGATAATTATGGTCAAAGATTTTCAATTTTTTCATGATCGCGGAATTTTTTACAATGAGAAGCATGATCCAATATCAGCGAATCTTTTCGCCATAGAAGGTGATAAGTGGAGAAAGCTACGCGCAAAATTATCGCCAACTTTTACGTCAGGAAAACTGAAGACTATGTTTTATACGATGCTGGAGAGTGTCAGTGAACTGCAAATGTATATTCAATCAGCTATTCAAAGTCAATCGGAATTAGAAATCAAAGATATTTTGGCTCGCTTTACAACGGATATTATTGGTTCGTGCGCACTTGGAATACAATGCAATTCTTTAAAAAATCCTAAAGCCGAGTTTAGAGAAATTGGTGAAAAAATCATGACTCCCAGTATTTGGCAGACAATTAAAGGCGCTTTTGCTATGACATTTAGAACTTTTGCAAGGCATCTTAGAATTGTAACAAATGATTCCGAAGTTAGTCATTTCTTTTTGCATACGGTCCAGAACACAATACGCTACAGGAAAAATAATAATATAGAGCGAAAATACTTTATGCAATTGCTTTTAAAACTTAAAGATGATAACACAAATGGTGACGATTCGCAGACATCTTTGACGATGGAGGAAATAGCCGCACAGGCGTTTATTTTTTTCCTTGGAGGCTTTGAAACATCTTCATCGGCGATGAGCTTCTGTTTGTTCGAATTGGCATTGAATCCAGAAATACAAACACGCGCTAGGGATGAAATTAATCGAGTAACAAACAAAAACAGCGGAAAAATTTCTTATGAGGCTTTAGTTGAAATGGTATACTTGGATATGGCTATTAGTGGTATGTTTCATATTATATACAAACACACACTCATATATATATATATATATATATATATATATAGATATATATATATATATATATATATATATACTTATTTATTTATATACTAGATGACCCGACAGACGTTGTCCTGTACCCACATCTACGTTTTTCAATTTCCTATACTAATTTTTACCGTTCAGTTAAAAATAATAATTATTATTTTTCAAATTGCTATTAACACCAATATATGAGTGATGTTAAATATAGAACTGCTTCAAATAAAATGATGATTCTCAATTCCCGCAGTTAACACATTAATTATCCCTCTAACACTTATTAAAATATGTTCAATAAAATTGTATATTAAAAATTATACACTGCAATTTATAAAACAAATTTGTTACTAGGGTTATACAATATTTTTAGTCATATTCGCAGATGTGGATGTATAAATGAATGATTTTTTGTTTATTCACGACTAAAACATTGATTTTCCAAATGTTAAAAATTGAAATCTTTTAAAAGGTATAACAAATTCAGAAAAAATTAATATATAGCATTCGCGGTAAAGATACAATATCACCTTGGATTTTTCTACCCAAAATAATTACTTCAATAATGTTGCCTATAATTTTTATAATTTCGTACCATATTTTAACTGGTTTTTAGTAATTTTAATATCTAAATTACATTTTCCTCACTAATAATTTAATATATATTATTATTTACGTTCATATTTGAATTAATTTGTCAAATTCTGTTGACATATGCTCTATTCAACTTACAATCAAGAAAATTATTGCAGTAAATGGAGAGAAAAAAGCGTGCGTCCTGTAAATTTTTGACTGTGCTCCAATTTGCATGATATTTTAGAAATAGGCTAATTTTTATCTTAAGTTCAGAAGTGAAAACAATTTGCACTCTGTCACCAACCTTGCAATAATTGGGTTATAACTCCATTAATTCTTATTTTATCAGAACTTGTAATCTACTATTTTAAAGGCAATTAAATGAACTACAACTTTCTCTATCATAAATTTTACCATACTTCTCTTTTTTTAAAACGGCGAAGGATTAGAGAGCTCGAAAGACACTCTGGTTGGACAGCCGCACACTCTTTAAACAATCTGAACTCTATCAATATTTGTGTAACAGAAAAATAATTAGTCAGAAAAAGACCTTGAATTTTCATTTATATACCTTTATACGTGTTTTTATTCTGTCAGAGATATAATGATAAGAAATTGATTGTTTTTTTTAAATGGATTTTTTTTTTCATGAAATTATAAGCTTTTTGGAAATCGTTTGTACTAAAATTGTGGTATGTTCTAGAATCCATCAAGATCTCTTAAACCAAGTTAATTCTAGAAGGAATACAATTATTTTTAATTTTGGTGAAAATGGCACTCATAAACTATTTGATTTAATCTGTTATTTGCATAATAACTCACTCATTATACATGCAGAAGTACTCATTTTAAAGCTTATTTTGAGCACAATAAAACCCAATTTTTATATTTAGCACAATATTGTTCCTAGAACACTATAAAACAGCTATTTATTGAGATTTTAATTATTTAAATTTTGTTCATTTTAATATTTTCGTTAAAATGTATATTTTAGAAGATATTAGCAAACAACGTTTTTAATTTTTCTTTAACGTTTAGTTAAAAAATAATAATCTGTCAAATTTAATTTTATATAGCGTATGTTTAAGGCGCAATTACTGACAGCCCACAATCGTCAGATGCGTGCGCAGACTGCATCAACTGTCAGAGACATGCTGACTCTATTTTATTACATTGTGACAAGTTAAGGGTGATGATGGCCCCTTTCTGGGGATTGCAACGACTGCCAAATATTACATCTTAGCGTTGCATCCCCAATTACGAAAGTGTTACTCCGACTCCTTAACCCGACTTCTATGAACACCCTGTAATTACCTGTGGAACGTAAACCAACTAACTACGCGAATGAAACAGAATGTCCTTTTAGCTTATTTAATTTAACTAATTATGATTACAGATCTGAGGGCATAGCTGTACCTACGCACAGCCATGTCCTATGCCTAAACTCTAACGTACTGAAGAATCTTTATCAATTACTAACGGAGTATAGTAACGGAGTATCGGAACGGAGGCAATAGCTTATAAATATTACATCTGACCTTTGCTGGAACAGGTTCTCCTTTCCTGGCACAACAAACACACCACTATACACAAAGCGGGTCCAGAGACTCGCGCATGGACCCGACCGACCTCTCGGAGGATGTTACATTTTTTAATGATTATTTTCAACCCTCGACTTGGACCTTATATTGCAGGAACTCTAGTAGAGATGGGTGAGGGAGTCCTTTTGCACTGAGGGTTGTGCAATCCTTTGACGACAATGCCAATTGTCGTTACGATATTACATATTTTAATTTTTGGCACATCTCAGCTGCTTTTTGGCAATAATAATGTAGACATTACATTTTTCTTATTTATAATCATGAATTTATTATATTTTAATAATGTCTTAGCCTATAAGGAATAAGTAAATGGAAATGTTTGGCAAATGGCAGTCCTCATTTGTTTTTAATGTCAAACTATTCCTCAAATATTTTCAAGGTCAAACAAAGATAAGCGGTTTTTTGTAATTTTTTTCATTTATTTCTACAATCTGACTATATTGCTATGAATAAAAAACATTTCTCTGAACAAACTTCAGAAAGATTTATGAAAATCCGAGTAATAGTTTAGGAGGATTAAACATTCATACCCTATTACAGAAGAATTTTATAAATAAGATATATATATATATATATATATATATATATATATATATATATATATATATATATATATATACATTTATAAATATTCTATATAATCCACATAAATAAATAAATAATTATATAGCTTATATATAAAATTCTTCTCTAATGAGGTATGAAAGTATAATCCTCCTAAAGGATTATTTGGATTTTAATCTTAAATGATTATTTAATAGATTTTTTTCGAATTTTTTGAATTATAGAAATATAGTCAGATTGCAGAAATTAATGGAAAAAATTACAAAAAACCGCTTATCATTGATTGACATTGAAAATATTTCAGGCATTGTTTGACATGAATATCATTTTCCAAACATTTCTATTAAATAATAAACTTATAGGTTAAGACAATATTAAATTATAATATATTTATGAATAAGAAAAATGTAATGTCTACGTTATTATTGCCGAAAAGCAGCTGAGATGTGCCAAAAATTAAAATAATATAATAAAATACAGTCAATACAGCGTGTGATGCAGTCTGCGCATCCGTCTGACGATTGTGGACTGTCAGTGATTGCACATATGATTCTATTTGGCAGATCATTATTTTTCAACTAATGCAGTCATGTTTTGCCTTACTTTACTAAATCACAATACAAAAAAAAAATACTCATTCTAAAAATTATTTAGAAGTTTCATTATGTCAAAAATTCATATTTTTGGCATTGGATACGGAATATTCACTCAAGTCAATGAAGCGTTTTAGGTCTGAATTTTTTTACTGTGCTCCAATTTGTATGAGTTTGTGAAATTAGGTTTACCTTACTCTCAAGTTCAAAAGTGAAAATAATTTAGACTCCTTTGCCACTTCTCAGGGGAGTGACATCAAGTTACTGGCTCGTTTTTTTTGGCGCTTTTTGCCGATTTTTGCAAATATCTCCAAAAATATACATTTTAAAGAAAATCATGCTATGAACAAAATTATATCAATTAAAATCTTAATAATTCGGTATTTATAATGTGTACTAGAAACAATATTGATAGATATGATAAAGCAAAGTCGTTTTTTATTTTGCTCAAATTTAATTGTTGCATTTGAAGCCGTCTAGGGATGAGGTGTTACGTTTTATATTTCATGGCGTACTGTTGAGGGTCTTTAACGTATGAAATATGTGAGCTATCATACAAATAAAAGGCGCATACAATGTTTTTTTTTTCATTTAAATCAAAATTAAAATTAATTGTTCTCTTTCTAGAGTTAACTTGATTCAAGAGATTTCAAAATATCATGCAAATGAGTAATAATGTATATCAAATTATTATTAAAAAAAAATTATTTAGATATTATTATTACTGAAAACAATTAATATAGAGAACGAAATTATAAAAATTATAGGCAACGTTATTGAAGCAATTATTTTGAGTGAAAAAATTATTGAACGGTGATATTGTACCTTTATCGCGGATACTATATATAA